GACAGAATACGCATAATGTATACGTTGAAAATCACGCAGTAATACGGCCGTTTCTCCACAGAGACAACAGTATACAACAGCGTTTACGGCCGTATGTTGCCTAAATGGCCGATGCCACAACGTAAATCTAATACAACACCTCCTAATGACGAAATATTTAGCAGCAAAACTTAAAAAGCCTTCACACATTCAGATTCTACCAATTAGCTAAATCACCTTCCCAAAGTTATCTCAACAAAAAAGGCCTCTTAAAGGCACTTTTCTGATCTCTTTCGAAAAACCTATTGTTTCACTCAATAAACTCTCAGGAGCAATGTTCTATTAGAGAAAATGTCTTGAAAAAACGTTCTCCATTCATAGAGATTTATTTCGGTGAAAAACTACTTTCTCTAGAGGTATCTCTAAGAAAATGCCTCTCAGGGCCTCATGAAGACCTTCTTAAGAGTAGCCTGTTTTTTTTCAATCATAAAGCTCCTTATATGAAGGTTTTAGTAATAAAAAAGACACAGAAAGTCCTTTTTCATCAATATCCATTCGTTTGGATAACAAACTGTCTTCTCTAGAAATATTTCGAAAAACGGCCTCTCAAAGGTCTTTTTCGGCAAAGTCTGTTTTGTCAGTGAAAAATCCTCCCTAAAGTAGATTCTCATTAACAAATAGGCTTAAAAAGGTTTTCCAGATTCAAATGGATTCGTGGGAATGACAAACTACACTTAAAAAAAAAGGATTTTTACCAAACTAAAAATGGTTCATTCCCTCGATACAGGGGAAGATCCTTTTTTGGTTTCGTAAAATAGGTGGTTTCGTACCCAACCTTTTTTGAAAAATGGTAGAAAAGGTTTCGCAATAAAGGTTTTGTACAAAACCTTTTTTCTCAAACTGAACAAAAGGATCCACAATCAAGGTTCCGTAAAGAACCATTTGAGTGGTTATTTAAAAAGGTTCCGTATATTTGCCTTTCAAATAAAGCATTACTAACGCCTACCGATACGATACGGAATGGGAAAAATAGCAGTGACACACTCGCCCATCGAGCCACTACAACTCACTTATGCTATTCGGATGTTAAATAACGTCATCTGTACTCGAGAAAACGAATTTTTTCGAACATAGAGGACACCATATAACATTAGAACAACAAGTAAATCGTAGTGATTCGTTGGGAAAGTATGCCAGTGCTATTTTTCTCATCCTCCTACCGCTTTGTTCTCAAAAAGAATTTATGGTGTGGGTGTGGGTGTGAGTGTGAGTGTGGACGGATGTGGTCGAAAAGACCTCATTATCCACCCACACTAGTGAACTGCACCGGAGCCGGAATCGGAATCAAAAAACAGAAATTCTCGGAATCGGAGTAGGAATCGGAATTAAGACGAAAAAATATTTCGGAGTCGGAGTCGGAGTAAAAAAGCTCAACTGAACTCCGAATTTCGAGCTTGTCTCTGGTGGGTTAACCTGTTTAATATTGAAAGAAATTTTTTTAGAAGTTACTGTTGAACGAGAGAACCTTGTCAGATACTCCTTCAGATTTCAATGAATTTTCGTCCACAGATGTTACATAATGTCTTGGTCAAAATCCTGATAAAATATGGATTCTCGTTGCTTCCTTCAAAAGCTATACGTATACTTCTTTTACTTCGATAAGATACAACATATACTGTTCAAGAAATGGTTTGCTAGAGCACCAATTAGTTCAGATCTCATAAAATATTTATTTCTAGTTATTTCGAAGCACTTGTGAAAAAACACCAAGAAGTACAACCTTCATTTCCTTTGTCATTAGATTATGAAAACAATAAAAAGTTGTTTTTACACACCGATTGTTATTTTGAAAATTTTTCTGTCTAATATCGTCTTAATGATCCAGAAAAGAATTTTAAAAAGTGCAGTATCAAGGGTTTATAGAAACTTGATTCAGTTTTTTGCGATGCCATTACTCGTCTAAGTTACAAACAAACAGGCAAAA